AGCCTAAGATACCAAAAGAGATAGCAGAAATATTATCTAGAAAAAGAAGCAGTTCCAAAAGTGAAGAAATAATAATTAGGTCCTTACTTCTCCTCAGAATAACACCTTTGGTTTTGTCAGGCTCTCTGTACACTAATGCAGGAACTGGACACAGGACGTGAATCGCACCATTAGCACAAAGGAAACTCACACAGGCTTTACTTGTTTAGAGATTATTCAAAGAGTCTGAAATGATATATTCAACTTCAACAAGACCGTGCAATTCAGTGCATTTTGAGGAAAATCCAATTAATTCCATTCAAGTCTGTATTTAGGCCATTACTATTCCTGTTAGTCTTGCCATACCTTCTAGTCCAAAAAAACAACAGAAAGCCTTCCAGACATGCAGTGGAGACAAAATGTTTTAGAATATTTTAAAGGAAGGCTCATCTAGGCTGTTCAAACTGCAACCATCTTTGAGGAGATAAATTTCAAACGATAAATGTTATGTTCCAGTGGCTGGAAAGAAGTTATGCCTGTCTACTGTTGTTCTTTTGTCCTGGAAATGATTATGAGTGGTTGCTCATCAGAGTATTGGAACCAAAGCTAATAATGTTCCATTAATTGTCGAAATGCAGAAGACCAGCACATGTTAGAAAACAATTCACTTTTGAAAAGTGACTTTCTTCTGAAAGCCTGTGTTCAATTTGCTCATGTGGCTATCCTAATGAAGACTAAGATATGGGAAATGTAGGTAGAAAAAAGTCACTTGAATATTGAAATTACAGCTTTAGAAAAGGGGCGTTTCCACTTCTGTCATGTTCAGATAAGCTGATCTTCTTGTGAAAGAGAAAAGGGAATAAAAACTGATCTGCACCTTGTAATTTTGCACTACTGAGGATCTCGTCAGCACTCAAGCACTGAGTCTTCTCCCAAAATGTTCAGTGTAAACATCTTATACGCTTCTTTAAACTTTGGCTTTAAGTTGAAATAAAGTCATCAGAGGCTTTATTTCAACTGCACAGTAGTGCAGTTAGATATTTCAGAAATATTTTAGTTTCTCAGTCTTGTAAAGAGCACTTAGTTTCTGTTAATACTGTCAGAGGAAGGTGTTGGGGTGGGAGAGAATGGACACTGAAAATCCAGGGCTTGCTTTTGTATTCTAAGTGATGGCTCCTCTAGTAATAAGATACAGTAAAATTGCTAGTTAGCAGAACAATAGGTGCAGCCTGTATGCAAGTGCATAATTCCTTTTGTAGAGAAAAATGGATCAAATCTTAACTCTTGTAGTTTGCAGTAGTATTGTAGTTTAATAAAAGTTATGTTTCAAATCTTAATGATACCGGTTTGCTCTTTGGAAAACTAATTTCTTAAGGGTTTTCATTTGAATAAGAACACAATCTGGAGTTTGGGTTTTTGTGGAACTGGATTGGTATAAAACTCAGTACCTCTAATGAGAAAACAATAACTTACAGATCATTACAGTGAATAAAATACTACTTTAAAATACTGCAGAAGTGGGCAGCACGTGAACTTGTGCTGTCTTTTGGCTAGATTAGTCTTTGGAAAACTGTTATTATTTCAGAAAGATCCTGCAGAACACTAAAGTTTATATTTGACTAATTCTCTAGAAGGCTTATCTAAATTTGCTGCCAAAATAGCTACTTTTCTCTGTTAATCCTCCAAGTACTCATCATTAAAGAGTAAATGCTGTAATCTTGAAGCAGTTCTATTTAACAACAAAAAATATGGGGAAATGAATCTATGCATTTAAGAGTAAAGAGAAATCATAGCAATCAAACTTAATCTCATTTGGTTTTGCCTTTTTTTGTAGTTATTGAGTCGGAAGGATAAAGCCACCTTTGAAAAGTTGGAATATGTTATGAGTAAAGAAGATAATTACAAAAGGCTTAGAGACTATATCAGCAGCTTGAAGATGACTCCATGTATTCCCTATTTAGGTAAGCTGAAGAAACACTAATGAAAAACATGCTTCTCTGGTGATTACAGAAACTAAACGCTATCTTTTAAGCAGGCATGAAACTATTTTGATACTTCAGTGAAGAATATAGAACCTTATATTAACTTCACTAGCTTCATAAAGAAAACTTCTTTTAAACCTCACAAACACTTCAGGTTTTACATATAGTATCAGCTTTCTAGGAAACTATTTTCCCATATGCTCTATAGATATACCAGTTGTCTTCTGGAGAACTACTTAAATTATTAGGCTTGCTAGCACTCTTCAAGAGCAAAATATTTGAATGTTACAGTAATTCAGGGTTTTAATTTATGAGCAGTGATAAATCACCAGCCTCTGAGATAAATAAATATAGATCTTTGGGTTTGGAACATGCTAAAATCTGCAACTGTTGTTGCATTTAATTATATTAAACTGACAAGTGAAATGGGTGGATAGTACTGACTCATATTTATGAAATAATGATGGGTCAATGATATTCCTTTGTATCTTGAAAGCTATATAAATAAATATATTTATTGATTGGTTTTGTTGCCAAGCTAATCTAGTGTTAATATCTGTTTTATTTGTTTTAGAGTGATGTGTGCTCTTATAATGTAGCTTTTCTTTAGTATCATAAGATGTCGGTAATTAAGGAAAAGTTTACATATCTTTTCCTTTTTCCAGGGGGAGAAAAACTTAATATTTTTGTAGATATCAGGTGCTTTCACACCTAAATTCAAGATGACCTCCTGTGGTCACCTATAAGCTTTGCTCATAACGACATGAGATTAAATAAATAAAAACTTGATAGCCTTTTTAAGCTGTGATCAGTAGCTCATCACAATACTACTTCATTTGCTTCGTAGCTTGATGTGATAAACATTACCATCATTTGGTGTTAGTATAATACCTCTAAAATGCATATATTCAGTTTTTGTGAAGTTGCAGGAATTTTATGTACTTTGTACTAGAAAAAAAATACTTTGCTCTAGAGAGCCAATAATAATTGTAAGGACAAGCTGTCCTATAGAATTTGTCATTCTGTCCTCATTTTTCACTTCCGTGTTACATCCCAGAAAAATCCATCAGTTCCAACATGATCTTAGCAGCTGTTAATTTCCTGTGTTTTCAAGTAATCAGATGTTGGTAATTGTTCATACTGAACATGGAGCTCTGAAATACTCAGCGTGAGCCCATTTTGTCTGAAGTGCAGGTGTGAGAAGTGCCAGTGTGGCACACGATCACATACTACCCCAGCTGTTGACGTAGCTAGTTGAACTAGGCTTGAATTAAAAGGGACAAAGAAGCCAACCAGAGTGTGATGCGATTAAACGTACCATTTTGTGGCTTCCTCTTCCATGTGCACATGTGTAGGACATGCGGTCTCTGTATGCTTCTGAAATGGAGTTTCTAGCTGTCCAGAAGCTTTTTACCTATATGCTGTGATTTATGAAATGCGAAGCCAGGCTCAAATTGTTTCCTTGCCAATTAGAAAGTCTCAAGCCAACCCACTCTCAGATTTTTTCCAAGTCTCATGATACTCTGTCCCTTGCCATTATGGTCTTCTGCAACTTACTGCTGTACAGAGAAATCTTCAAGTTTGGGTGTATTTGGTGTCTGATGTTTTAAAAATGCTGCCTTAATACCTGCAAGTGTATAATTAAAAGACCAAAATGTTGGAAAGCAAGTTTTGTTCTGTTACAGATGTTTTCCTCTTTATACGTGAGAAAACTCTTGTGCAACTCTTAGTTTAGAGTAAGCGTTAAGATTGAATTGATAATTTATGGAAGTCAAATACATATTTTTCTGCCTAGAAAGAAGGTGGGGGTTAATGCTTTTTGCTGTGACCAACTGTAATGAATGTTTTGTGGCCTGATTTCATACAGCATGAATTCTCACTAAAGATATAAAGTCTTTCGTCTCAAAGTCTCAAACCTTTTCCTTAAATTCTCCAGAGAAATAGGAAATGCCTAGTGATGCGCTCCCTCTCAAATTAATTTTGTAAGATTTAAATATGTGGCAAAAAGAACAAAATTGCTTTGCAACTACAGGCGTGATAAGCATGGATCTATCTTGGAAGGTTGGCTATTGAGTCCAAGTCTTCTCATCTGATCAGAGCTTTAATCTCCAGTAAGACATGAGTAGGTTTGCAGAAGGATTACTTCTAAAAATTCTGTTTTCAAGACATTTCCATTAATCGGTGTGTCATATGGAACAGAAGTAACCCAGCTTCCTTTCCCAGAGAAAGGAGGGTTGGAGCAGGGATCCCTTCAGGGGTGACTCAGGGATCCCAAAGTTGCTGTTCTCTCAAACTGCTTTTTAGAAGAGTGCGGAGAATTGAGTCTTCCACAGAGGAGTATTTGTCATCACAAACCCCCGCCGCAGTAATGCTGGCCCAGGTCGAGAAGGACTCTGTTGGAAGGTCATCAGGAAAGGGAGCACATTAAGGGATCTTAGCTGAGAATCCCGGGATGAGTGTTTTACCTTTCAGAGTTCACCAGACTTGCCATGGCACCAAATATTTGTGCAGAGCTTTTTTCTCAACTGTCTTAGCATTGTAGTGTAAAGCTTAAATGTTTTCTTGTGTGGTCTTTGTGATGGAAATGCTTTTTGAGCCACAGACGTACTGATTGTTTTCTTATTACTTACCACAGCTTGCTTGCCATGGACAAGGTAAAGATGTTCTTCTACACTTAACTAGGGGGAAAAAGGAATCATAAAAATTTTTCAGTTCCTTGATGCAATGAGAACAGTGACTTGATTCCCAAGTTCTAGAAGTGCAAGCGAAGAGCAACACATCGGTGTGGGCTCTCCAGCTTAAATGGGAGAGCAATATTAGGTGTGTGATGGCAATAGCATTGTGCAGCATGAAGTCACTACCTGCTCTGGGGTAGGTCATCACTGTTGCATCACCTGGCCCACTAAAGTAGCCAGACAAATGGGAACTATGTGGAGGATGTTGTGTTTTGCCTCAGAACGAAAATACCTTCTCAAAAGGGTTCTTACAGTGGAATTCTGACAAATCTGAGGTTGCACAATGAAACAATTGAGTCGTCTCTTGAAGTAAGTTTTTTATTTAACTAAGCAGTACTACCCTGTGAAATATTTCCTTACAGTTGTCTTTCAGGAACTATATCCAGAAATGGAAAAAAACAGGTAGGTTATTAAAGTATCCATCTGCTGAATATTCAGCTCAGTGATAATGCTTGCAAATAGACTTTGGAGATATTTTTGCAAACTGTTTCAGGCTTTAGTACAGGTTAAACTTTTTCAAGGTCTATTTAGTTATATTTGGACTGAGAATACACAAATGGTGAAAGCTCTGTCCTGCAGTGACAGATGGCTTCTGAATGTCCAGTGCAAAAAACTTCAGGGATGCTACAGCCTCTTCTGAAAAGCGTTTCAGAAAAATGTGAAATAAAATATGAAGTTTTCTGAGTTGCTTACCCTGCTTTAGAAGATTTGAACCAAACATTAAGAACTGATAGAATTGCAGGTATCTGAAAGTAGTGTAAAGTATTATGCAGTGCGAACCAACCTGAGGAAGAGGTGTCACACTGTCCCTTCTTATAATCACAAACTGGCAACTTAATGTGAATTCTTTCTTCTAAGAGCACGGCATTTGTGCAGTCGGAATTTTCTAGGTATGTTTATAGTCATTTTTAGTTAACTTCATTCTGTAGCTTTAAATCAAGGGAGACTATTTCAGGCTTCTAATATATAAGATTAAATTTAAGGGCTGATTGCCAGCTAATTTCACTTGAGGGGGTGGCTGTAAAATACACCTTTCACTGACTGTTCTGAATAAACAAACAGTATTTTTGTAGCAGGCAATAGATTCTTGTGGTAGAGTAAGATGTCTTCCAAGGAGACCCAATCTGTAGGTTGAAGCAACTAGACCTGACAAAAGTGTTCGTTAAAGACCATTTCATTTCAAAGGGCATTTTCAGTTTTTAAATTTACCTGAACTGCTTTTCTAACCAGCTATCATAGAAAAAAGAAGAGACTACAGATGGTCTGAATTTCAAGCATTTGCGATTAAAAAGAATTTTATAGAACACTGTACAGCATTTGTAACAAACATACTCCTTATGTGAAGACCAGTATCAGGATTGTAATCTTAAATGTTTGTGCCAGTTGAAATTCTTGTGATTTGGGAACGAAATATGTTGGGACTGATCGTCTTTTTTTCCCCTTCCCCTGCCCTCACTTAAATATTGATGAAACACAGAGACGCGTTAGCTTTGACCAAAAGTCTAACTACAACCCTTTCAGCCATATAATGATCAGTGAAGCTTTATCTAGAGAATGTGTTTTGAAACCAAAATGTTATTTTCTCTCCTTTGAATTGCAAACAATGTTTTTCCTAGCTGCTGGTATCAATCAATTCAGACAACAACATTAGGTATTGATTAATTTAAACATAACGACAATATTAGATTCTTCTATTAGCGTTTCTTAGGTTAAACAGGGAAAAAGTTATTTAAGATTCTGAAGGAATACATGAAGTACCAAACAAATGCATTGGTTACAATTCAGAACATATTAATTTTGTGTGGTATCAGATTAAATTAGATAAACTGTATAGCTAATTCCGGTTATTGAATCATTTTGAGACTAAAATCTTCCTTCTGATTGTATAGATTCTAGTACCTAAAGTGAACATTTTGTTTCAGATTTTTTTAAGTATCTTTTATGGCATTTCTTCAAAGTTGGGAAAATTACATATTAATCCCAGTGGAAATAGATACCCAGAAGGCAAAAAAAAAAAAAATTAATAGAGAATATCATAGTAGTACCTACAGAGGGGAAGAGGAAATATGTTGTAAGAGCAGCCCAAGTTTGGGGGTGGCAGGGAGAATACACTCGGAGCTAATTCCTAATCTATGTCAGCAGAAAGCTGTGTTGGAGGAAAACTTCTGTTAATATGCAGAGATGTGGTCCTGTAAACCACTGCATGTGGACATCTGTTCAGACCTCATCACTCCTAACTGGAGCAGGAGAGGGGTCTCCAAGTGTCAAGCCATGATTGTATTATCAGCACTTTTCATTTTGCCATCTAAGTTCAAAGTATCAAGAGATGTTTTTGTTTAAGTAGGATGTTTGAAAGGGGAAAGTTTAAAAAAAAAAAAAAAAAAAAAAAATTAAAAAATCAGTTTGGTTGTCTTGAGTTTATCAACCGCTTCATGCAATTCATTTCTTTTTCTTACACGAGGAACACTGTGTAGGTATTCTACAGAAGGTAGGATATGCAGGTCTTAAGGAATTTTCTACACCATTAAGAAATTTTATATTTTATGTTTAATTAACCACTTCATTTTGAAATAATTATTGGTTGAAAAACCTCCCTTAGCTGGAAAGCTAGAATGCCTTCAATTTTTTGGGTAGCTTCCTGGAGTAAATCTTAAACAGTAATGTGAAGTCAGATTTTCATTGAAAGTAATACCAACGTTTTTAAATAAATTGTTAAATAACTAATCGATTTTCACATTAAAGCAAGACAATGTCATTTCACATATTTACATTTAAGGGTTGAGCTGACCTGAAAAAGCATAAGCTTTTTAACTGAAAAAGCTTATATCTTGTCATTTTTCTGGATTTTTTTTTTTTTTTACCAGCCTTAATGACTGTTTGCATAAAGTATGTTGGACTTGAAAAAAGATAAATATGCTTTGCAAATTTGAACATTTGCTTTTGTGAATGTATGTTTAAAAAAAACACTGTCGTTTACAGTAGAAAAAGTTTCTGTGGGGGGAAAAAAGGGGAGGTAGGATGGGGAACACAACTTGGGAAAAAGACAGGAAAATCATAGGCCTGCATTTTGCAGGGGCAGATTGTGCAAAATAATGATTTTAAAGTAATATTTTATTTTTCTGGAACTCAAGCGCTGAGAAGTTTATACTTGATTGCTTGAGCACTGTGGGATTTTCCTCCTCAGTCTATAGGTCTGATCATCATCTGAACTGCTTTCAAGGGAGTAGGAACCTCCCCGGTACTCAGCCCAAAATATCCCATCCTGATACTTGCTCCTGTAGTGGCCGCCTCTGTACCAGACGCCATTGAGATTCGAATGTGCGCACGCGTTGTACCACCAGCCGCCTTTGTGGAAATGAGCGCAGTTTCCTGTGGAGCAGAAAGAAATCATTAAACCTCAGTGTTCAAAGAGGAGAAATGCTAAAGATCAGCAAACACTTGCATGTTCTTAGCGGGGACTTCTTGGCACTTCATGTTATGTTGTGGTCCTATCAGTTGCTGCTTCTACCTAAATTACGTGTTCTGTTGTAACACCTGTTGCTTAGAGGGAAGATTATTAACACAGTACTTAACAAGGCAGCTGAAAACTAAGGAGAGCAACTCTCTTCAAAATACCAGTAGTGCTTCTCTGTGAGCTAGCATTTAAAGCACTCGGGTTATGTGCTGTTTAGAAATACTTCAGTGGAAGTAATGTGACTTGATGCAGTCCCAAAGAGCACTCAGGTCCACAGTTCCACAAAGCTGCTTGTGACTGATGCATTTACTCTCAGAGGTTTCTTCAAGGGCTTGCAATGTTTGTGTACCTTCATGGTTATTGACAGTTGAGGAAAAAGTGAAGACTTATTATTCAGTGGAGTTGAATTATTACACTCTGCAACTTTTCTTTTACCACTAAGGCTTTAAGGGGAAGGTAGAGAGAGTAGAAAAGAACCAAAAAGAACTGTTCTTCAGTAAGGAGAATGAAATGAACTCATCTGCCCGTTTCTCATGTATTGGTACATGACTAAGCCTATACCCAGATGCAGATCATGGAGGTTGTTGTTTGATGGCCCTCTCACTACTTGCTGAGAGATCACCTGGGAAGGTACTCTGACTGCAAAGAATCACAGGTAAATGACAAGGTTGTCGTTGAGCTAACTGTAAAGCTTGCTCAAGTGTGTCTGCAGTGAAGATAATAGAATTGAAATTTCTGAACCGTGAAGTGGCTTGAGTGGGACCCTGTCAATGCAATTTGTTGTCTCTACCTATTTGAAGCATCTTTTAGTAGAATGGCTCTGTCAGAACTTGAGTACTTTATCTGTATTAATTCCTTCTTTAAAGGTGATATCACTAATGGGATTACTGTATTTGTTTTTCAAGTACATACCAGTTTCCTTACCTGAATACATATCCCTGTCTCTGTCCAGTGTTGTAAACTGCTTTCCGTTGTGCCATATCATGGAATCGCCTGCGTTTCCTTGGTATGTTCCTAAGCGTAGCCTGTAGAACTCATTTTCGGGCTCCAAGCGGAAACTGCTGTATTCTGCATAGACCTTCTTATTGCTCCAGTCCTCTAATTCAATCAGTAGTCTGTAGTTATCCTGATTGGTAAGCATGTAAATGTTTTCTAGTCCCAGCCAGTATTCTCCATCAATGTTTCCAAATCCTTTCTGTATAGAAGATCAGAAGGTGATATTTGCTTAGTTTATCTTGGTCATAATTATTTTTTTTTCAGCAGGAGTAGTATAAACCAACAGAACTGGGGTACTGTAACCATTTAAGCTTCAGAATGACTGCTTGACACATACATTTAAATGCTTTATTTTGCTGCCTTTAGCCACTGATTCAACTGGACTGCTACAGCAACACGAGGTAGTACCAGAATCAGCAAAGGTAGCAAGATAGTCTGTTTTCTATGATCTCATCTTCTCAAGATAAAGGGTGAGAGAACAGGAGCTGAAAAAACATATTTTTGGCTAAGTTAATGGATTTATAAAAATGTATGAACAATGAATTGTAATGAGGTATGTTTCTAGGTTCGAAAAGGTGATTATGGATGAACAATTTCAATTTTTCAGGTAACAAAATTTTTGTTGCCTTTCTATGCAGCTAGCATTGATTTTTAGTGTCAATTTTATCACATAATTCATCTATACTCTCTGTTAGGCTTACTATAGAAATGAAAACTAAAGACAATTTTCCTTTGAAATCACAGATTACCAGTTTGGTATCCGTGAAGTGATACTTCGTGCCTGTTGTCTCTTATCCCCGAGCGAATCAGTGGTGGTCGTGTTTGGAGCTGTAGTGAAGGAAGTTATGTTCTCCCATCATAGCTACCTGTTAGGCTTCCTAGGTTCTGATGGTTTCCTATCCTCCTTCTCAGGTCACCGATTATATAGTTTATACCACTTGGAATCACTTTCCGGGGAAATCTCTCTCCAGTAAAGAAATGTTCTAGGCCCCTACCTCAAGCTGCAGTTCTACGATTAAGTTGATGTAGGATCATACCACTGCCTAAAATGAAAGCGGTGTCCGTCTCCTGCAGGCTTGGGGTAGAGTGGCTGGAAAGCTGTGCAGAGGAAAAGGATCTGGGGGTGTTGGTCGATGCTCACCTGAACACAAGCCAGCAGTGTGCCCAGGTGACCAAGAAGGCCACCGGTGTCCTGGCTTGTGTCAGGAATAGTGCAGCCAGCAGGGCCAGGGAGGCGGTCATCCCTCTGTGCTCTGCTCTGGTGAGGCTGCACCTCGAGTGCTGTGTTCAGCTTTGGGCCCCACACTACAAGAAGCACATCGAGGCCCTGGAGCGTGTCCAGAGAAGGGCTGTGAAGCTGGGTAATGGCTTGGGACACAAGTCCTGTGAGGGACAGCTGAGGGAACTGGGGGTGTCTGGGCTGGGGAAGAGGAGGCTCAGGGGAGGCCTCATTGCTCTCTGCAACTCCCTGAAAGGAAGGGGTGGGGAGCTGGGGGTCGGCCTCTTCTCACAGGTAACTAGTGATAGGACTAGAGGGAACGGCCTCAAGTTGTGCCGGGGAGGTTCAGGTTGGAAATTAGAGAAATTTCTCCTCAGAAAGTGTGGTCAGGCATTGGGATGGGTTGCCCGGGGGAGGTGGTGGCATCACCGTCCCTGGGGGTGTTTAAGGAAATATTGGACATGGTGCTTAAGTGATAAATCACCTGGGAGCAAGTTTAGTCAAGGTTGAGCTGCCATTACACACCAGTTACAGACTTAATAAACTTCCATTGTTTTATGTTTAAAATGTTAACAGCTACTTCATAAGAGATGCCATAACTACCCTATGGCATGTTGGGGTGGGGACGATACTCACCACTGTTCTAAGAAGTAAAGACATTGAATAACTGCTACAGAGGAATAATTAAGATTTGAATGATAAAATTCTACAAATGCAATGCAGAAAATGAAAATCCTCATAGTAATCTTATCATTTTCTTTGCATATATGATATCTTCAGAATATTCACTGAGTTAAACATGGCTTAGTTTTCTCTTCAATATTAACACATGAGAATTGCAGCTCAATTTAAAGCGAGCACAGTGTCACAGGGAAAAACTTTGTCCTGTATGAATGAAATTAGGACAGTATTATAAAAAGATGTTCATATTTCTTGTCTAGCATGTAGTTATTCCAAAGTGACTTTTTTTTTCCCTAGGTATTATGTTTTCTAGTGCATAATATCATGGTTATGTGTTTCCCTCATACCAGTCCTTACACGTTCAGGAGTTATCTAATGTAATCTTCAAGGTATAGGTTGATTCCTTTTATCACAGCATGGTTTGGGTTGGAAGGGACCTTCAAGCCGATCCAGTTCCAGCTCCCAGTCATGGGCAGGGACACCTCCCACCAGCCCAGGCTGCCCCCAGCCCCATCCAGCCTGGCCTTGGGCACAGCCAGGGATGGGGCAGCCACAGCTCCTCTGGGCAGCCTGGGCCAGGGCCTCACCAGCCTCACAGTAAAGAATTTCCTCCTTATATCTGGTCTAAATATACCCTCTTTTAGTTTAAAACTCTTCTAGTTTAAATTCATTGCTAGGAATATTTTCAAGTTGAGGCCGTGATCCCACAAATCTATTACTGTGCCTAAATGAATAATTCTACTGGCTGTGATTGCTTACTCATAGGGGAGATGGTTAAGCTTTTTCAGTATTTATTATAGTTCTCTGTGTGTTAATAGAAAGCATGTGTTTAGTTAGGTCCTTGTAATAAATAACTTCCCAGTCGCTGTCTAGGATAGCGTGTTTCTCAGCCATTGTTGTTGGGCGTTACAAATGCAGGCTATTTCAGACTGTAAGTCAGTCAATACAAAGTTAAGTAATGCTTTCAGTGAAAGGGAACGTTCCCACTGAAATATAGCCCTCTCTGAGGAATGACCCTTCTGGATGATGAATTTCCTTTCTAACTTAAGCAACTAGCTATTTCCAACACTTCACTATATCATTCAGTAGAAACATTTGGAATGAAGAATTGCTTTGGAAATGTTAGTACTTTCTTGATAGCGTAGTCACTGTCACATCAAAATGAAGCTGCTGATTTTCAGAATTTGAGTTTACCTTGTAACTGTCCCAGTTCCTGAAAAAGTTGACAGAGCCATCTGTCCTCTTCTGAATAACTGCCCATCCTCCAGGGTCCAAGCTGTTCTCACACCATAGCTGCATCGGTTCATTACTGTTTTCAGGCTTAATCATATAAATCCCGCTGTTGGAATACCCAGCTTCTTTGGCTTGTTGGCAGTCTTTGAATGGACCTTTTTGAAAAGAAGTACAGTAAGCATTCGAGCTTGGCTATGGTGTGCATGTTGTTCGAGGATATTTGATATATTAGTGAAAGACTTAGGCATAATGGAAAGTCGATAATTCAATTAAGGTAAAACTACTGTGAAACACAGTGTATAAAGTTAACTCTGTGTGTGTGTGTGAATATATATATATGTATATATATGTGTATATATATATATATACATCAATATCCTATGTGTATATATATCTTTAATAACATCACTGCAAAACAGATAATACACTTCAGTTACCAGCACCTGATTTTTATCTGTTTGTGTCAAAGATTTGTTCTCTGAATCATGATGTTGATATGATGTTGATGTTGAATCAAGGTGTTTTCCCTTTACCACTGAGACAGAAGTTAAATGACAGTCTATTTCATTGCCTTTGGGCACCCATTTGAAACTGGTCAAAGCTGAAAATCAAGAAAACAAGACACAAAACACCCAAACCAAAACGAAGCCCCCCACGCTTGAACACACAGTGGTAGATAGCTTCTGTAAGAAATACTTATTCCCAGAGCCTACAGACATGGAATTTAGGGATAGAGTATTCTTATGCTGCATCACTCTTTAACTTTTATATACTTACCTGGTTCCAGGAGCAGCCTGCTAATGGTAGGTAGGAGTCTGTGCAAGTTTCAAATTCTGTCCATGTGGGAAATATGTAGATCGATAGTGAAGAAGAAAATATGCAAGTGGTGGAAAAGGGCTTTTGAGCAGCCAACAGGGCCCACATACTGCTTTCAGGGTTATGATTATAAAAGAAACATGCAGTTGACAGTGCTGCTTGAAAGCTCTATTTTGGACTATATGAATACTGGTTTTACAAATACTACTTACAGAAGAGCATCTAGTAAGAAGCCGGTAGCTTAAATACTTCAAAAATCTTTAAAATCTTTGTTTTGTATAGTTTGCCTTTCAGTTTTTCAGTTTTAGGTAGTATTTTCATCTGCTTTTTTTTTTTTTTTAAATGTCTGTTGTGTATCATTATGTCAGTTGAGTTGATCAGAGACCAGCTATTTAGTAAAGAAAAGCAATGAAAAGCAGGGTATGTTCTGATGGCTAGTAAGTGGCGGATGCGTTAAATGTATTTGAAAATTCAAATTCAGTTAATCTGAAAAGGAGGTTACCTACTGCTTTCCTTATTTATTTATTTTTTTTTTAAGGCTCAGTTTCTCAAATCTGCTTGTGGAAGTTCATAGAAAACCCTCATCATTCACAGAAGAAACTAATGTGCAAAGAAGCATAAAAGATTGCTGTTGAGGTTATTTTTTAATTAAAAGTAGAGGTTGAGTGGAAGTGACCTTCACTGCAGATTAATTTTCCATGACAAAAGCAAATTGAAAATCACTTTTTTAAAAAGTAAGTTTAAGGTAGTAGTTGCTAGATGCATAAGTTTGTAATTAGCAGGAAATCGATAGAACATTTCATATTAATTAGCATGCAAAAAGTTTGTGTAATGAAGGTGACTTCTTGCAGCTTTTGGTTGCAGCGGTGTTAGCAAGCATGCTGCAGACATTGAGCCATAGTTGGAAGCCCTGCTGCATCCTGTGTTGTCAACATTTGATGTTTTTGTCATTCTTACAGTGCTTGCAATAATAGCTTGGGAAAGACATAATGTAACTTTGATATACTTGTGCTTTTTTTCTTGCTCACTATTAAAGTATCCGTGTAGATTGTGTACATTGCAACGTTTGTACAGTGGGCTTCCTGGGCTAAGTTAGCCTCATTTCCTGTCCGTGATTACCTAAAGTAAATTTGGGATCTGTACAACTGAACATGGAGGTCATTCTAGAAGTGTTACTGCCCAGCAATTATTGCATTAGAAGAAGTGTGAACAGAGAAGTAGGCTTTTAATAATTTTAATTAAACATTGAAAATAGCTCAATTAGATCTGTTAAGTGTTATTTCCTGTGATTTCCTCTAGAGGAGGTATTGAGGACATACTTCTGCATGAGAGAACTGAGCAGATGTTTGGAGTGATATTAAGTAGCTTTTGAGGCAGACAAAATTGTACTAGTCCAAGTTCTTGAAATTTAGCTGGCATTAAGGTCGCAGGATGTAATTTATCTGTTTTTTGATACTTAGATTTGTCTGTGAGCTTATCAGAAGTTAAGGTTGCAATAGAGATGACAATCTTCTGCTTTTTTAGTATTAGGAAATCCAACAAATCCCGTAACTTTTGGTGTGTAGTCTTAAATTATTTCTGAAAAGTAAGTTTTATTACATCTAATTATTTTAAATTCCTGGTATTAGAACAGATCCATTTCTCAGCATTTGCACTGAACAAGATTTGCCAAGGTGTTGGTGTGAGGAGAGCCTCTCTGGCTAATGAAAAAAGTCGTAACTGTTTAAAGTCTTGTTGCCTTTATAAATTCAGTTTGAAAATGTATTACCTGTGTAAGGAATAAATACTTCCTGCATATCTTCTGTAACAGTCTGTGTACACTAAGCTGCTGGGACAAACTGACTTTTTGGTTATAGTTTTTAACTAGCTGTAAATTCTAAATAATCTGAGAAGATGACCTGATCAATAATTTACTTCTAAAATGAAGTTTTAGATTTATGATTTGGTATGCATCATATTCAATTGTAAATTAAATGGTAGAGAGGGAAAGCAATGAAATACTTCTGGTTGGAATCTTACTAAAATACTGGCTGAATACTATTTTAAGGATGGCAAGTGTTATCTTGAACAGATAACATAAACCATGCTTGTGTAAGCTTCATGCTGAGGATTTTAGTCAGTAGTAAAGAATAAATCCTTCCCCACCCTCCAGAAAAAAACACCACTGGACCTCCGCTTAAAAACAAGTTGCATTGATATCTGAGATACATTAGCAGTAGAGTGGGTTGTGTGTGTAGAATTTTTGTAGCTTTTTTTTTTTTTAATTTTCCTACAATGTGGCAGTAAAATCTGGGGGAGATGGCTCCTACTGCAAGGATTTAGATAACTGTGGCAACTGTAATTCACAGGAACGTTCTTCCTCAATTTCTAGAACAATCTTAATGTAAATTTATCTGTTCAGAAAATAAGAATCTTCTGTACCCTCAGATATTCTTCATTTTGATCCCCACCAACAATTGAAAATGTGCACTGACCTTTCTGTAAAATTCGTGTGTGTGCAGGTATTTGTTTACTATGATTTCTTCAAATACACTTAGAAAAAGCTCCTGATTTTTTTTTGTCTGGTTGCTTATTCTGTCATAATCATGTCTTTTTCAGTCCTGTTTCTAGATAGGACTGTTTAGTTTTTATTGGTCTGTTTAGACATCTTAATACATCATAAACAGTTATGATCTTTTAACTGGAAATTTCAATTTTCTGTGGCAGAGGGAATTTTGCTTCTCTACACCATTAAATATGCTTAGCTTCATTTCAAACCAGAGTGATAATAACTAGGCATTGTGTTGCAGGTTGGTTTTGATGATTGATGGTCTACCAGCTGTAGCAACTCTCAACCCTCATTTTCCCTAAGATACTGCAAGAAGCACTTAAACTTCAAACTCAAGACAAATATTGACTACAAAAGTGGAATAACTTGTTATAAGTTTCCTAAGATTCCTTTTGTGTTCCCTTGCAAAAATGGGTTCAAACTCAAAAGGGATAAAGGGGTTGGTGAAAACACTTGGCAGATGGTTTAGAGAAAAATATTTAGTGTTATTGCTTCATTTTTCTATGTATATCAGGCATATAATGAGACAGAAAAACATGCATTAAAAAACAACTTTGAAGCATGGGCTTTCTGGGAAGCAGGAAATCGCTTCCTTTTTTTTTTTTTTTTCCTTAGAATTATGCTTTTGCTGCTTGACCGGACGTTAATGCTTTTATATTAGCTGTTTCCTTTGTGTCATGATGTGTGACTTAAATTCTCGTGACATCTGGCACTTTCGTTGGGATTGTGCCTGAACGTTTTGCAGACCCTGAATAAAAATAGTTCTTTGCTGCAACTCAGCAGCAGCTAGTTGTTTGTAATGTCGTGGAACAGTTGCAAATAAATGTTTGCCTTCATCTTAGGAACCAAGCTGAATTTCCAACTGTGACTAAAGGCAATTTAAAGGGGGGGAGGGTGAGAGGAGAAACAACCCTTTTGCTATGCAAGCTAACGTAAGTCAAGAACAAGAGCTGGTATGGATGTCTGAAAGCAATGTAACTTGTTTTTGTGAATCTGTGTGTTTTGTTTTTTTTTCTTAAAAAGTTTTAATAAAGTAAGAGTTGTGGCAGAATTCAGGGCATCTCAGCAGTAGTTAATTTTCCTTTCACTACTTTTGTTTCTAGTGATAAATGAATTTGTGTAATGGCCTAAAGAATGTAATGTATGAAGATGCGATACAGCCCCTTAATGTATTTTCATAATATTTATGGTATTAATTTAACTTGACATCCCCTACTGACATCAGATTGCTGGGAATGTAGTTACTCATTTTAAATTTTCAAAGTTGAATGCATCTAATTAGACCCAGCCTTCATTCAATTATCCTTTCAGACTTATCTCTGGAATATTTCAGCCAGAGTCATTCCACCACTGTGTTGGTGGATTTAGACACTCATTTTAAAGCAGTTCAGAATTTAAGGAGTAAAATTCTTCTAAGAGGGAGTGACTTCTGGCAAATGTGTACGTGTAACTATACAGGACAACTGCTTAAAATTTTGTCTACTTTAGATTAATTATCTTTTCTGATGTTCACTGTTTCTAGTTACTGTTACATGTAAATAGCAGGAATCTTCAAAGAGAGTGGTAAATACTAGAAAGCATATACTACAAATGAATTTTCATTCCAACCCAGCTGGAGACGCAAGCCCCAAGACTTTGTGACTCAAAGGCGTTAATTCTTCAGATTGAATTTCTGAGTATCAGCTATTTCAACAAATTCATCATCTGCAGCTGTAGCTTAAAATCTCAATCGGCAGGAAGGACTAGCTATACCAGGTACCTTTAATTTCTCTTTCCAGTTCTATAGTCAGGACAGTTTCCCTCTGAAGCGGAGAAATCTCAGGTTAGATAAACGATAGGTAACTCACCTTCGTTAATTAAAGCCAGCGGTGGTACTCTGAAAGGACTCTTTGTAGGCGAAGTAGCTGGATCAGGTGGTGGTCTTACTTCTCTGTCTCGAGGGTAACCCGGGTCTCGCTGTATCTCATTACCTCCCAGAAGAACAGGGGTATATGGCTGACTGTTGGGAATGTGCTGGGGCACCACCTGGACAAGCGGTGGAGACCCATGGGTGTCCTGCCGTGAGAAGATTCTCAAGCACTGCTCTTCCAGGAGGGAGATAATCACAGACTGATTATTTACAAGATCAGTCAGTGCTGCATATTTGACTTCAAGCTCCTTGTATTTTGTTGCCATCTTCAACATTTCTGTTGTAACATTAAGGACTTTGTTTTCCAGTTGGGAAAGTTCAAGAGAGTTATCACGCTTTCGAATTATCTCATGCAAGAGTTGCATATAGAGTTGAGTGACCCGAGAGTTCATATTACGGCTTTCCTTCCTCAGTAACTTGACTTCATTCACGATGTTTCCATCCACATCCACCACCAACTGCAAGATGTCAATCTCCCGCTTTTGCTTGGACAGCACATCCTTCAAGTTCTCTATGTCCATTCTTGTGACTTCATCTTTTCTGTTACCAGTACCTGGTTCGTTAGTATTCACACAAATTGGCCCTGTGATCTTTTGTTCAGGGACCAGGAAGGTGTAACCACATTTCTTTCCTTCCTCTCCACTGTCTGCTGAACGAGGATGCCTCCGTTGGGATGTCTTATTGAGCGTTGATTGTTCGGTACAGCGCCCAATAGACAGGAGTAGGAACAACAACACACCCAAAGTCCATTTAAGTATCTTCATTCTGAAGCAGGTATGATGACCTTCAGAAGACTGTTGAACATATGGAAGATAAAATAATTAGAGTTGTAATGAAGGCAGCTGTAACTGAAGCAGGTGTAGTGCTTCAGTTGCCTAAACTGATGAGTTTTGCTATGCTTATGTGCATGTAGACAAACGTTTTAAATCTTAAAGTTAGGTTGCATTAGGTTAGTTTCTACTCCCTGCAAATAAAGGACAAGCTTTAGAAGTGCTTGCAGAATATTGTCAGAAGAGGGAAGTAGGGAGGCAGTGATTATTTTTCAAAAACTTCAATATATACAAATTTTGGACTCGTACAATTGGTACAGTTGTAGAAATTTTGCACAATTGTACAATTTTTTTCTGTTCTTTTGTTAGGTTCATGTATATACCTGTAGGCATAAACTTGTAAATATTTTATACATACTTATGTATATGTACATGTTTTTCAAGTTTATGTACACACAAACATGGTAGACTTGAAAAGTATATGTAAAATACACACGTGCACCCTGCTATAACACTACTTTTGAGCATTAATGTTAGGTAGGGTATGAGCTAAACATAGTTGTCTTTAATGTTGATGAAAATTACATATTCGAGTAACTTCAAATCGTAAAGAAAGCCTGTGGCATGGTTTGAACTGCACTTGTGCATCCCTACTTAGCTATTTTTTAATTGTTGTCACACTACTTTCATATATTTGAGAATGTATTTAGCCCAATAACGCTGAAGTGTTGGGTGTTTTATCAATCTAAATACCACACTGAAGTGTTTCATTCACATGCTAAGAAAACAATGTATTTCGTTTAACTTGGTGTAAAGAACTAAAGTGCAATGATAAAAACCCAGAAATAGTTTGAGAGTTATTTTTCACTTTGATTTCAAGTATTTGAGATGATTAACAAAAGTATCACAAAAGTTAGGGGGAAAACCACCTCCTATTACATGTTTAATTTGTCTTGTCAAGTAGGTCGCTCTTCCCTCTGATGCCAGCTGCTGATCTGGCTTTCCTTTGCAGTCTAATGTTAGAAGCTGTACAAGGCCTGGTGCAGTGGCCTTTGTGTGGTTTAAGAGAAGAATAAAACAGACCCAGAGAAAGCTAGTAATTTTCATATTGTTCCTGCCAAAGCAAGTTTAAGTGCATTTGCAATCCTGAAACAGTTACCCTGATGGAAGAGAGGATGAGTACTCCTTCCTTAACCTTCAGCTTTACAAATGGTAAGATGGCTTTGATGCCAGGTCCACAGTCTGGTGCTGGCTTTAATATTATTGCTGCAAGTGACATCTGTTCAGAGTAACTCTATCAAGTCTTTATTTTTTGCCTCTGTTAAGAGCAGTGGATGCAAATTTCAAAAGATTCCATATGCAATCAGGAATTATTTCTAGGTTTCTTTAGCAAATGGTTTATTGTTGCCTAGAAATAAACTTTATTTTGTTGGCAGTTGTATTACAAGCTCTGCTGTAGAGAAGAAAATATTTGCATTTTGAAAATCATTGATTGCTTTACAATACGGAAGGCAATACAGTTTACAAAATGGAAGGAATATGTAAAAGCTTGAGAATATTTATATTTAAATATTTGTTTCTGTATATTTCACTCTTAAGATGTAGTAATAAGTGTTTGGGTATACGGACTGTTACTTTCTTTACAGAAATAGAATTCGGTTAAACGTTTTGTTATTCTTTTTCGGCTGAAGGTATACCTTCTATTAAAAAAGGGAAAAGTATTGCTTTTCTCAGGGGCTAGCTGTGTATTTTTCTTTGGTAATTTCAGACTTTAAAATATTAATCGCTTAGGCAGTGCTCAGAGTTGGAAGTTCATTAGGTTAAATGTTCTCATGAATCATGGTAAAAACCTGGGCAATAAGTCTGTGTGTGGTGTTTAACTTGAGAAGGATGAGTTGAACTAATTGTCCAAAGTTTGACACCTCTGCAAGGTCCCTTAAATTATTTTTCAATGTTTTAAGTTCAGAAGCAGGAAAGGTGACTTCATGGCACATAAAGAATGAAACTGTAGTATCACTATTCTACTTTTTCTTTTCACAATATATAGTGGCTACTTCATAGCCCAAAAAGGTGAATAACAGTTTAGACCGTGGCAAGTTTTTTTAAGACCCTATACAGTTACTAAAATAATCAGTGGCTGGGGGGTGGAGGGGAGGAAGCAATATATTTTTCCCCTGAAACACATTAAACCTGAAGTGAATGTTTAAAAAATAAACAAACGTTTTGCAGTGCAGCCCCCCAGCTGACCAGGTATGCTGTAGCAGTTTGCTTTCCACATATCTTTTAAGCATTAAGTTTGGTTTGAGTATGTATTGGATAAAAGTAGAACTTCTTTGTCAATATCTGTGCTGTCAGGCCATAAAATCAATGAAATCGCCTAACGTGGCATAACCAAATGCAACAGCTGCACAAGGTTATGCCGTAGAACATGTAAGTAATTCAAGTATCTTGAAATCAACTGACTCATTCAGATAAGCAGAGATGAGCAGCGTCTGAGGACCTACCTGGCCAGGTAACATACGTGCTTCCATGGAAATCTTGGTATCAAAAAAAATCAAATGTTTTAAGCTGTTGCTTGGGGTGTTTGAGCAGCGTAATGCTGAACTTGTTACACAAAAATTGGTTCTGTGTAAGATATTTACCTGGAGTTTTAATCATCGTGGAAGGAAATGAAAATACTGTTTCAGAAATTTCCTGATGTTCTGGGCAAGCAGCTTAAAAAAATATCAACTGCTTATCCAGAATATCCCCAAATGATGGCCTAATATGTAAGACTTTAAAATGACAAATATTAGAGTTGGGAAGTAGTTGGAGGTTTTTCCTTAATTAGCTGCCTTATGTCACAGGTTCCCAGTTCAGATTTTTAAGGTCGTATCATAACTGCTAGGAGATAAAGTAGATGAGGCTCAGAGACTTAAAGGCTTCCTGCAAGTCTCGAGTTGCTTGTGGTGAGGGGTATTGTTGAAATACCTGAAAGCAAACCTTGAAAAATAAGCAAGAGAGATGGTGATTACAGATGCTATCACTTCAAAATGTATTATTTAACTCTATATGAGCTGTCATGTTTTTGAAATTAGAATAGACTGTCACTTTGTCACGTTTGTGTGCTGAGCAGTTTTGTGTCAGATTTCTGAAGTGGCTTTGCCGGTGTCCTAGTGTGCTGATGTTCTTCTGCAGATGCAATAGAAAAACATGTAGAACTACTCAGCAATGCAACCTTCATAATCATCTTGTTGGAAATGTTCAAAATTGTGGATAGGGTTTCAGTATAATGCTGTTCCTTTGTTTCTTTTCTAGACTGATTCCCATAAATGAAAGTCTTATTTCCAAAATTAGTTTTTATTACTTGAAAAATTGCTAAAAAGGAACAAAATTCCAATTTAATAGAGCAAAGTAATGTAGTGGCTACTATTTTTAATTTTTACTGAGGAATTACAAGAACGTGGGCTGTGTTAGCTAAAAATATTGTATTGCTTATTAACATTAGAGTTGCAGGGATGGGGAAGTGTGAAAGCTAATATGTATTTGACTTTTTTTTTTTAAATATATATCTACATAGCAAACTATTTGTTCTCTGTTGAACTGCTTTGAATTTCATGTCCAACGGGAAATGAAATTTGGAGACCCACAGCACAAATTAGAAAATCTGTTCTTTCAGAGCTGATGAAGATCACTTCTCCTTGGGCAACATAGGTTGCTCTGACTGAATGTAAGGGAAGTATTGCAGGTAAATATGTATGGAAAGCATGGTGCTGTACATATCTTTATCCAGAAGATTTGTCAAAACGATATGGTCAGATGATAAATACCGCATGTGCCCTTTTTCATAAGCTTCCATTTATCATCACATACAACAGGAAGAAAAGCAGCCAGTTGTTTTTGTTTTGTTTTTGAGAAAGTAAGCAATAATGGTGAAAGGGAAGGTCCTGTGAATATAACAGCAGTTAATCAGGGAGCTCTACTATTGATGTTAGGTGTACTTCGTTTTATGTTAAGCATTATCTAAGCAGCTAAAATAATTAAAGCTATTTATATCCACATAAATAAGCACAGCCTTTGTATGGTTTTTAGTTTAGAAGTGGGTTCATAGCATTACAAGTCGTATTGCTGTGAGGAAAACACTATAGAAGAAGCGTTCGCGTGGATTTCTGATATATGTGTATTTTTGTAAATTAATTTTCCCTGTATAAACAAGTGCTTCTCCTTTAAGTCATTCTGCCTTTAGTGGAATAACGGGATTGCTTTCAGTTGTGTTGACTGGAATCCAGGAACAATACATTGTTGGGTTTTGTTTGTCAGATATATAAGATATTGATTTGCAGAGTTCTACTGTTAGATGAACCGGAATCTGATCCCTTTTAGAAAAGGCCATCTAAAAATATTCAGGTGGTTTTGAAGCAGTTGCTGCCAGTGTGTCATTCTACAAATGATAGACTCTTAGAAATGCTCTGCAGAAGAGGTTTGCAAACTTTGTCATACAAGATACTCTGAAAACACAGTACAGTATCATAATATTTCTAGCTTTTTGGTGAATTTTTTTTTTTATGTGAGCATTCCTTTCCGTTTGTAAATGCATACCAGTAATGTTTGGTGAGAGCATTTTAAAAAGCAGGTACAATAGACCGGTGCATTTTGTGTTTGTAGATGTGTTATTTGGGGCCTCCAGGGTTCTCTGTGGAACAGATACGGAAGGCATCAATCATCTATCGCAGTTTGCTGAAGGAACTTGTGCTTCATTCATCGCTGTATAAATTGCAAGGACCAGACTAATAGGGCATGTTATGAACAGCCAGTTGAGCCCAGTAAAACAATAATTAAAACCTGATAATAGCCCTGTAGTTACTGGCCAAAGTTTACACGGCATATTTTTCCATCGTGTTTGAGAGCATTCTAGCGGCAACACCATAATATTAGCAGTGCATTATTTGTTCAAAATAAAGCATTTCAAAATTTCAGCTCTAAAGTTGGAAGACAGCGAAGGAGAAGGAGTTAAAATCTTGCATGTTGCCATTTTATTGCTTTAAAGTTATTGACTCAGCTGTTTTCATTTGGAAAAGATTTAGGAATTGTTCGAAGTAATGTAAATCAAAAGCTTGGAGAATAATGAATGAATGGAGACTGGCGTCCAAAGCACATAATGTAGATTTCAAATGTTTTTGTTGCCGTTACTTAGGTTGTTCCCTTTAATGTGTAAGAAGCACAAAAGAATAGTAAGAAAAAGGGCTCAAGAACTTGGAAAGGATCCATCTTTCTGTTTGTCAAGACTGCTTCAGACTTTTTCATTCCATAGCTCCTAAATTTTATTTTTTTCCATAACACTTTGTCTCTTCTTTTAGAGTCACCCCCTTCGTTCTCTCCTATTGTGCCAGACATTGCTGAGAGTTTAATATGAACACGTAACTTAAATGCTTTTCCATTGTCCTGGATTATTTACTGTACTCTCATTACAAAGTCAGTATGAAGAAAGGCAAGAAGTATAAAATTGGTTTAACAAGTTATTTTTTCTTCCATACCTTTGTCCTGGGTTTGTGAAAGCATTTGTGTTTTAATCATTGACTTTGAAACTGTGTCTTTCCCCCTCTCCCACCACCCCCATAGAACTGTAACAAAACCCTCTCTTTTCCACTTACTTTCCACTGTTGCCTTGCATGTTGCATTTCATTTTTATGAAACTATTTGGAAACAAATTACTGCTAAACTAAGTTATAGTTAACTTCTCTCTCATTCCACAAACCTTTCAAGGAAGGGGTTAGTGTCCATTACAGCAATTTCTTTGGATTTTCATTTCCATAATTGTTTGTGCTGCAGAGTTAATTATTTTCTGAAGTACTGTATGGCTCAAGTTTCTTGGTTGATTGTACAACTCAGACTACTTCTACTACTCAGGAGTAACATAATTAAAACTTTAGTTGAAAAGGTTATTGCTACTTAGAGATGTGCACTGGTTTACTAGTTATTTTACAGTACTTTTATTGAGGTGTCCATTTTCTAGTAATGCTAGGTCTGTACATTAGTGCTGGGCAAAATCAAGCTTCTCCAAAGGCGATAGAAACTTTGGCTTTTGCTTTCTCATGGGATCTGAATTTCACATTAATATGTTCGCAATATCTAAATTACATGCTTAACAAAGAATCTGGTAGCACTGATTTTCTGTAACTTTATAGAACATAAAATTTACAGAAGATTTACAGCTAAGTGACTGAAACTTCCAACTGGAATGAGTTAGGCAGAGTGCTTTTTAATTCTTTCCAAGTTTCCAAAGTCTACCGAATGCCACAAAAGCGAGTTTTATATTTTAGCTGTCGAACCGTTCTCAGGCTGAGAGATCTGTTTGTTCACAATTGTGTGTGGATGGTAGATGCATGTACAATTCACAAATAGCTCAAAATTAGACTTGTGAGAAAGAATAACATTAAAACTTACCAAGGGGGGGTGGGGGGAATCTTGCAGCTGTTTTGCTTCTGTGGTAGATGGAGAATCCAGAGGCCAAGTTGCGTTGTCTCTGTGTTACCCGATGTTGTGGATTGTTAATCTGCAGTTGGAGTTGAAAACTGCTTTTGTCTTTCTCTGTTAGATCCAAGCTGTACTGAGGAATTGGGTTTCTCCATGCGATGACTGAGCTATTTAAATCATTTAAAAATAATAGCGGGGGGGGGGGGGGAAAGTTCCAGTATGTTTTATTCCAGAAAAAAAAAAGAAAGCAATGCCTCTTTGAAACTGCAGTGTTTTACTCTCACATGCAGAAGTGCACTAACCAGCTACAGCTGACCCAGATTCCATATACATCACATTTGGACAGTTTTTTTAAACAAACACACACCAGACGTAGCCGTTCAGCCCACCTATGATGTCACCGCCAACACACGGAAAGCAGAAGAAACTCCTCCTTCGGATTTCCTATCCATACCCTCCAGAAAAGGGAGGGGGTAGGGAGGCCGAGGAGTCCCGAACAAGGGCAGATTGTTTGCCAGCTGAAGGGAGGGTACCATATGGCAACAGACTGTGCAAGAGTTCAGCAGGCAATTACAAATCAAACATTTTTACTACGCTGCCTAAAGATGCCTTTCAAGTTATTACAGTGCTGGGCTTCATTTAGAAGAAAGATTCTTTCAGGCTGATAAAACTCAATTTGTGTTGCTGGGAATAAAAGGGGCAGCCTGGCTGGATACAACAGAAAAATGAACCATTTATAGGCCAGGAGAATGTTCAACAGAACGTTGCATTCAATTCTTGACGTTCACTTAATAGGAAACAGTTTGAGTTGTTAAATGCATGAAGTCTCTGCTGCATGTGGAAAACGTTAAAGCTGTGTGGGATAGGTTTTGGGTAGGTATCAGAATATTTGATAACATCTGATGAGCGTTAGAAGTAGCAAAAGCTGCAGAGGTGATGCCCTGTGAGGAGCGCAGAACGCAGTTGTGTCGAGCTGGGCAGCACTTGTGTGCATTCACTTCACTTTCAGCGATCTCTCTGGTTCCTTCACAAAGAACACACCGGTTCCTTTTGCAAGAAATACCTTTGTATGCTTTCAGAACTGCTTTAGACTTCATAAAAATGCATCAAATAATCTTAGGGGATAGCTCTCTACGGAAGAGCTCTTGATGTAGCTGAAAGAAAAATCCGTGCTTGATGGGACAAGTCACTCAGAAAGATTGGGTTGTAAGATCATGGGTAACACTGCAGGTGCTTCTCACAGTGAATCTCTTTAATCAATAAGCGTGATTTACTGCTTTCCATGGAGGATCAAGCAGGTTTGGGATTTTTAAGGCCCATGTGGACATTGCTGAGCAAAGCCAAGTTCAGGATGGCTTACGCAGTCTAGGTAGCATTGCAGTAGGAATGTATGTGATCTTTCTGATCATTCTTTCTGTCTTTTAATAAGCTGATTTGAGCAGAATAGAAAACAGAGAATTTTAATAGTATATCAGGTCATGTGTAATACCTTTTTATTCACTTTTTTATATGCCACCTTTCAACCACAAGTATTTTAATTTGTTTCTGTGTGTGTGCGCGCACACGCGCGTGTGTGTGTTGATTTTGGAGGGATGCCCAGAGTTTCCCAGCTCACGCTGAGGACTGTGCTGGTGAGGTGCTACACAAACACAACTGCTGCTCTGGTGAGCTTGTATTAATAGTCTTCCACCTGTAAAGCCACGCTTCTTGTTATGATTCTGCTTATACAAGGCTGAGTGTGAAGCAAAATATACTTTCAGAAATTCCCTAATACTGAAACAAGTTTCTTGACAATATTATTTAATTTTTGGATATTAGATTTTAGATATCAGTAGGGTCTCTGTGTTGTGGAAGATGCAGAAGAACAGTTGCTTTTTCATGGTAGGGTTAGTTGGAATGGATGTTTCATTGATTTGAAACAAGAACGATTAGAATTAGGGTGAAGTTCTAGAAACCAAGTTTTATTTAGAATTAAAATAAGCGGTTTATAACATTAATATGTAAGGAGAAGGGTTTTCCTCTCTGCATTATTAAGGGTTTGAAAGAACAGTAAGGTTACGGTGCTGGTGTAAAGAAGAAAGTAAGCAGAAGCCCTGGAGACCTAAAAACATGTCTGTTGGGTTTCAGCAGTTACAGCTAGCAGAAGCTGCAGAATTCATGCTGCATTTCAGTGTGCGTGCACTTCTTGCTTAGTTATCTTTTCCCAGTTATCTTTGAGTTTGAGTTTCTATTCAGGTTGAAGTTGCAGATATGATGTTTTTTCCTTCTGTTTTTTTTTTTTTTTTTTTTTTTCTGAGTTGGAGGAATTAAATAGATTTCCTAAAATCATTAGTAATTTTGATCGTGTATTTTAGTTCTGCGTGTTCACTATGCTCCCATTTGTCAAGGGAACAAATAGCTGGTAGTATGGCAGATTAGGTTTATGAGTACTTCTGCTTGCTGTTGTAATTACTTATAAATGTAGAACTGTTAAAGACACTGTCCCTGGTGAAGACAGTCAGTTAATACATGCCTGGTGTGATGCAGGAGAAAAGGATTCTCTCTGTGTCCAATTTTGACTTGCTGTCCGGGGTGGCAAGGAAAATTAGCTGTGCTTACACATGGCGTCTTCTAGTACAGCTGAGGTTAAGACTAACAGAAGTAAGGATTAGTGATGGAGGGAAGTGCAAATTCCACCCAAGACAAGGGTTGTGGGGTGATGTACTTCCATGACAGTCCAAGCTCTATTGCTGTTTTGCTTTGAGGTTTGAAGGCTTTCACAGATCTTGATGAAATGATTTCTCAGGCACAGCCAAAATAATATATTGAGGCAATGCTGTTGTCAGTTTCTTTGCACACTAGGAAATGAAAAGTAAAATATTCTTGATGATTTTTTTTTTGGTAAGTGTGAGACACTAAAGAAATTTTTCATTCTGGTCTTACCTAGGTATTTATCTGTCAGACTTGACGTATATCGATTCTGCATACCCATCAACAGGGAGCATTCTGGAAAGTGAGCAAAGAACAAATTTAATGAACAACATCCTCCGAATTATCTCAGATTTACAGCAGTCGTGCGAATATGGTAAGCTAGCATGCAAATATTTCACCATTAAAGAGCAATGTTAAAAGTTTCAATACTTGTCTTTCATAATACTGTGCAAGCAAGGCCCAACCAACTTGTGCCATTATGACTCTCCCATACCTTCGCAGTGCAAAACTGTTGTAGAAGTTTATTCTGACATTGTTGATTGTGATAGAGCATCGACATGAAGAGAAAATATAAAATTCCCTTTTTCTTGCATTTTTGCAATACATATTTTTTGAAGAAAAATGTGGAATACGTTGTATTTAATAGTAGTTTTGCTAGCACATTGTAAACTTGAATCTGTCTTCCATAACTTTGTGAAAATGAATTATAAAAGTAGTAGGATTGCTTTTAGAAAAGTTCTTTTACTGGAGATAATAAAGTGTGTACAACTTGTCTTTTGGACTTTATGGTGCTGTTCATCGATCAGATAATGTATTCTTTCTTTAAAGGTGGTCTCCTTCACAGTCCTTCTCTTCAATTTCTAGTAAAGTTGTAAGGCTGCATTTATGATGGCAGAATATGATATTAGCACAGGATTTTGGCTCCACTGAAAGCTCAGTATAATGAGAATGTGAGCTGTGATGTTCTCATACGCAGTCCTATAGGTTTGGGACTTCACTTTGGCCAGGGGTTCTCTGTGGCTTTTCCCTTCAACATACTCTGATAAGCAGAGCATCTCAGAGTGCTCTATGGGGAAACATACCTGGCTTTACTTATGTGGGGAATATCAGCTCAATGCATGAGAATTTGTATGAAGGACAACATTTCAACAGCAGTAGGGTTTGTAGTTTGTACCTCTGTCTCCCATAGAAAGGCAAGGGATCTGATTCTGTTTAAATAATTTCTGGAAAATAACTTTGCTTAATGAACAGTACAGTGATAATGAATGTCATCTGTTCTCCAGATATTCCTCTGTTGCCTCATGTCCAAAAATATCTAAACTCAGTTCAGTACATAGAAGAGCTACAAAAGTTTGTAGAAGATGACAATTACAAGTAAGTATGAAATGCTGTGACTGACTGTAATTAATGACAAAATAACTTAATAACACAAAGCACGTCACTTTTAAGATTCTGCTTACAGCAAGCAATTGTGTCTCCAGTGCATCTGTTGAAAGTGGGAAAGATACAGCAGGGAGGGTCCTTTGCTAAGATAAGTTAATTTTCAGCATGCTGGATGGCACATTGTCTTCCTTTTGTGTATTTGATTGTATTTAATCTGCAGACCCCTCTGAGTGTTCTCCAGTGGAGACTCCATACTTGTGGCACACATGCAACACTCTTTCAAGGGATGTATCTTACTGACTGAACAGAATGGAGCTAGGCTGTCATTTTTCGTCAGAATAAAGTCATCTGTATGTGCAGTCCCAAGTTCTTACTGAAGGGTTTAACTTTTATAAATCCTCATTTTATATTTCTATCCTTGGATTAGGTTATGCAGTGTAAAACAAACACTTGGTTTTTGACAAGTGAGATGTTGTACGTCTGTCCCTTCCAAAGTATACCACCCCGAGCAGAGGCTTTTATTCCTTAATGAAAAGATTATTGCTGTATTAAGTGATTTGGCATCCAGCAAAATGGGAGGATGGAAGTCTCTGGCAAGAGATGAGAATAAACTCCAGGGAGAGGAAGCAACCTAAAGCAGATCTGTTGCATATGAGGAAAGTTTCTGTTTAGTGCTGGCTCATCTGCTTGAGGAGGTTCCCTGCCCATTCCCATCCTGCCTGCCCTGGCATGTTTGTCACCTTAGTTGTATAGAAACTGGTTGTCTGTGTTCTAACAGTGTGAGGGGTATGTGTGCTAAAGGGGCAGGTTATCACAAAATAAAGCTTTGTGGTCAAGCATTTGAAGGAAAAAAAAAGTTTAACTGCAGCGTCTGGTTCTTGTTTTCATGGATGCCCCACTCCACCTTCCTTCTCTAGGCAGGAATCTTGTACTGGTGGGAATGTTATTGCTGAAGGAAATACAGCCTCTTCAGCCTATGCAACCCAAGCTTGGATGGCAGGGAAACTGAGACAATTACTAGTAGTGCAGAAGCAGGACTGATATTCAGAAAGTCTCTTTTTACACCCACATGCTATATATCAGTCTCTAAAGGAATTTCTGCTGTGGGAGAAGAGTGTATTTTGAAGAGTCACTTTTACTATAAGTGATTATTCTTTGTGTGCCGTGGTGTCTGCTAAAAGGCTGAAGTTAGAGAACAGTCATTGTGACTTGAATATGTGTTTTTTCTTGCTGAAGGATTTTATTTAAGAAAATTGAACTTTAAAATTGTAATGAATTGTTGCTAAACTGTCTAGTGATG